CAATGTTTGTGTTGATTAAACTCTAATAAATAAGAAAATAATAAAAAGAAATAAGTATATAAACACACAAAATGATTATTTTAGTTTAATAATGTCTATTTTATAATTATAATCTCAAAAAAGAATGAATAAAAAAGTATTTTATAGTAGGAAGTAGAAAAGTGGTAGGCGATTAGGCAAGGCGAGGCGAGCCTCAAAGGGTGCCTTGTCGCCTAGGTGCCCGCCTAGGCGTCGCCTTAACAACAGTGCAAAGCACTGAAAGCAAACACATCCGAGCTCATAGTAATCTTCCCCGTATGCATCAGCTCCAGCGCCAGACACCCCAACGTGCACACCACCCGGGTGGTACTTTGGTTCAACCCATGCTCGTACAACCTAGCGAGTCCGAAATCACCAGTCTACCATTTAGTTCGCCGTCCAACAACAAGTTGCTCACTTTAATGTCTCTGTGAATCACTACATGCTCCCATTCTCCGTGCAAGTACAATAGACCCGATGCCACGCCTTTGATGATCTTGAATCTCCATTCCCAGCTCAGAATCAACTTGGGTTGGTCAAAAAGGAACTTATCTAGGCTCCCATTTGACATGAAGCCATACACAAGGAGAACATCTCCTTGTCTATGAATCTACGATACCATCCTTTTAATTGGACAAGGTTTCTATGCCAAAGATGACCAATGCTTGCGATTTTAGACACAAATTCTCTCAATCCCTGTCTTGATTCATGCGAGATATGCTTAACTGTGATTTACCGAAGCATTGGAGATTGTCGTTAGGTTCCATCAGTTTGATATGAAAGAGGGAGAGGGTGGTGTTTTCAATTTTAATTGGATAGGGACAGAAAATTTTCTGTCCCTAGGACACAAACGATGCGAACTCTCCGGGACCGGTTGTCTCGAGATCTGAATCCATGAGTCTATGCGTGTGACTTTGGGATTCATGGTGCTCAACCAAGACATTGGAGCGATGTATATATTCATTGTCTAACACTAGTAGTTCAATGTCAAACCTAACTAGGTACTTGTATGCCCCCACCTAATGATTTAGGATCAGTTAACTTTTTGAACTTAGATCTCCTACTAGACATTTGTGTTTTATTCTAAGCTGCTCTTATGGAAAAACTTGTAAATGACCAACACTCTTCAAGCATTAATCCAAAGATAAATGACAAATAACAGTAAAAAGGAAGCAAAGTAAAGATAAGAGACAAGAAAATGCTAATGTGTAAAAAAATAGATAAAATATGATAATTGCGATGACTTTTTATAGCACCAAAAAGAGAGTAGAAACAATAAAATCATTAGAAACATGGGAATCAATGATCCTAAAGTAGAAATATCAAGAAACATAACAGACACAAAACCTTTTTCAAGGTAAACCATATATCGAGCAGCATTTTGGGGGGAAAGTAGGATGTACAAACACATACAACCATAAAAATAATGAGCATTTCTGTCAAAGGAAACTTATCAGAAACGCAATTTTCACTGCAACATAAATGGAAGCTCAAATTACAGAAATAAGAGAAAATGAAAGGAGAAGAAAACAATTGAGAAGGAACTATAAACATTTTTATAGAGTACTCTACAAATAATATTTTATATGCAAAGGGAAGGAAACATAAAACCCACCGTTACTTCGTGCAGAATTCAAGAATTTTTAAAATTTAGATAATTACGTTGTAATTCAGCTTAGTAGATGGAACTCACTGGATGGGTGGCTCCAATTGAATGTTTTATGGCCTGACCAGTGGCTTTATTCACCAGAGCAAAACTGGGAAATCCCTCTTCATCCTTTACCCTTGTGCTGTATTTCTCGTCTTTGTACCAGTGCTAGAACAATATAAAAAACCCAATTGTAAAAGCAAAGATAAAACAGAAATAACCAGATAATATCAATCAAAAGCAGATTAAATAAGGAAAAATGAAGAAAATAGCACAACACCCAAATGAAAATAGTTTGGATTCATCAATTGAACTGAAAGAAAAACCGAAATAGAACCAAACCAGAACAAAGAGAAACACCCAGGAAAAAAACTAGAAACACAAAAAAGCACAAAGTCCAACCACAAGGTTCAGATATGAATCGTCGGAAATCATGCCTGAAATTCGTCATTCTCATTAGATCGCGCAAGTATAGCTTTCCCATCTCGAATGGTGAGCGAGTACCCAATCTCAGCCTTGGTGTATATGCGAACAGTTCGTTTATTCGTCAGCTCAGAACCCTCTTGGTTGTGATGATAGACGAACGAAGGTAGGTGAGGACGATAATGGTGATGAGTTTCATGGTGAATTTCAGGAGTGTCCGGATCCAACCCTTGGCTCACCTGGTGCGAGACATGCTGAACCGAAGGGTGTCCAGATGGGACTGGATCAAAACCTTGGTGAGAAACATGCTGGACTGAAGAGTACCCAGGTGGGTCTGGTTGGATTACTTGGTGAGAAAAGTGCTGGACTGAAGGGAAGTGTGGCCGGGGCTGAAACTCAGATGGGTAGGATGGATGTAAGCCTTGGCTGGAGTGGTGAGAAATGTGTCGGACGGACGGATATTCAGGTTGGGGTTCGAAATGATGGGAACGTGGTGGCGGGCATTGTTGGTAGGTTGGACGGTCTTGTGGATAGGCATCGTAGCTGAGACCAGATTCAGATGCTAGCTCTGGCCTGTAGTTTGGTGGTGGGTACTGTTCTTCTGTATCTCCAGATTGCCTGGGATGGTCAAACGGGAATTCCATTTCAGTTCACCGCGAATCCGCGATAATCGCGCCTTCAAGACGATGAACCAAATATTGAAGGGAGAATGACTGTTCAGCCCACCTCAGAGTTCTTAGTCCAATCGTAACGGAGTTTACAAGGGTGGCTAGCCGCTATTAGCGGGGACCCGTGCGGTGTACGAGAAAATTTAAAAGATTTAATAAATTTTTTATTATTAATTAATATTAAATCATAATAAAAACTTGTTGTTAATTAATTAAAAGTATTGGAAGTTATTGTTAGTATCTAAAATTTTAATAATTTTACTTTTTATTTAATATTGATTTACAGAAAAATAATTATTATTAATTTAATATGAATAAATATTTTTTAATAAATTTAGTTTTATTAATAATTTGTAATAATTTTAATAATTTTTATTATTTTTAAATGAATTTTTGATTAACTTTAAATAAACAAAAATAATTATTAAAGTTAATATTTTTATTAATTGCACTAATAATTAACAATTATATAGGAATGACAACGGGGGTGGGTTTAGGACGGGGCACCCCATCCCTATCCCTCCCATAGTCAAGACACTCTACCCCATCCCCGCCCCGTCCCCAATGTCAAGTGGATTCAGAGCAATTCAATCACTCTTCAATGTTGGGCGAGTTCAAGAGCAAGGCATCCCACTCCTCATCAAAAGATGGAGAATCCTCAAATTCCCACACCTTATTTACAATTGGGAATGGGGCATATGACAAATTTTGTTACTATAACAAGATTTTATAGTGACAAATGTAATTGTCACTATAGGCCTAAAATTAGTAACAAATTTTGAAATTCATCACTATATTTTAAGATCTATAATGACGGTTATATATATATATATATATATATATATATATATATATATGTTGTTTATTACTATAGTTAGACTTTATAGTGATGAATGTAACTCTCACTATAGGCCTAATGTTAATGACAGAAATTGAAATCCGTCACTATAGGCTATAGTGATGTCACTACAAGTGACCGATGATATTTCATCATTTGTTCATTACTATAAATCTTATTGTAATGAATTTTTAGTCTATAGTGACGGATTTGATCTGTCACTATTAATTAGGACATAAGACTCAAAGCCAAATTAATTATTAATTGTGACAATTGGATCTGACATGACCCAATTATACTTGACACCTATAATTACCAATGATAATAACAATTTACAAATTTCATAATATAACCTTAATAAAGATGAAATTAAAATGCTAAAATGTTTATATATTGATAAAATATATATTTTTAATGATAATGAACTTATGTATTATTTAAAAAGTTTATTATTTTAGACATTAAAACAAAACAACAATTATACAAAAGAGATCTACCTTTATATTATTGACTATATAATTGGTTCTGGTCTTAATCAATTCAAAACAGAAAAAACCAGCTTCAACCTATTACTAATTGGGAGAAAACCATGCACATAACCAAGCCAACATAGTTGGTTCGGTAAGTTCAATTTTGTCGGGTAAACTAAACCCGTTAACAGCCCTATCTACTAAACAATATTATTTTTCAATGCATAGTTTTTATATATCGCTAGAAACATCAAGAAAATGCATATGCACTAATGATATGGGTTATGCATAACCCATTTTACCAATCGGCGAAGAAAGCAACGAAAAATTGGTTCCAGATTTGCCCATTTCAACCTACCCACATCGAACACGATCATTGTGCTCTTCACGGTTGCAAACAATTCCACCCGTCATATGATCTGTCTCTTGGATGTTTTTTTTTTTTTTTGATAGTTCATTATTTTAATTTTATTAACACGATCATGTTAATTTTATTAATAGTTCATTATTATAATAGTTGATTATAAATTAGTAAAAAATATTAACACAAAAAATATAATTTTAAATTTCATTTGTGATTAATTATTAATAATACTATAATCATTAAAAAATATCACTAAAAAGATGAAAATAGATTTAGTTGTGGTTTAAAATAAACAATTAATAAAATAAATTAGGATTTCAAATAAAATTACAATTAATAACTACAGTATTTATTAATTTAAAAATAACTACATTAATAAATAATAGGCCCTTATAAAATCAATCAAGAAAATTTAAAGTTAATTAATTATTAAATAACATTAATTTTAAATTTAATTAATTGGATTGGAGTAAGATTGCTTTAGCCCACTTGCGAATGCCATTTTTACTCCAATTTTGCTTTACAAAATTTGTACATTGTACTGCTCCCAATTAAAAACTAACATCTATTAATTTTAAATTACCTTTATTTAAAAACTAAGATTGACTTGACCCAACTAAAATTGTCATAAGCTCCTTTTGCTTAAATTTCACATTCCAATAACTAGTACACATAAATATTCAGTACCAACTCATCCGACAATCATTGAGGTTAGTCACTCTTCGATTCAAATTGATATTGTACTATACCATTGACCTTGTGGGGGTGTAAGAGATCACTGAGGATGTATCTCCTATGCAGCTATCAAGAGCTATACATGCAAGTGTTGTACGTTATATATTTGTAACAAAACAAACTTGATTTGTACTTATCATCGAAGATTTACCATAAATACATACAATTATCAAGTGCAGTTGCACCGGCAAATTCTAGTTGTTTTCTTCTTTCATTTTACTTTAAAGAGACAAGTTTTCCTACACTATTTTCTCCGGAACTAACCAATAACTGTGATACAGACGCCCAGGGCATTGTGTAAATTAAAACTCAAGTTAATCTCACTTCTCAACTGCATTACTGAATAAGTTCCTTTCTTTTGCTGGTTTCATTATTTTTATCATAGACAACAAAATGAGATTACAGGATTTCCAGGAATAGGGTTGCTCTTGGATGGAGTCCGGCGTCTTTGAGGGTCATTCCCATCTGTTCGTAACCATAAACTTTTCTCGGAAAACTGGAGATCAATCTATAACTTCCTATCCCCGGTAAATTGAGTGAATCGATGTATCTGTATACTGAGTGTATCTTGTCTGTGCATAAGAAGCTACGTTCTCTTCTTTCCCCATTGGGGAACCGTATCAATATCTGGAGAACCAATTACCAATAAGTAATTATCAGAATCATTGGCAGAGTTAAGTGGAACATCGAGCCCAGAATAATAGTTTTGACAATGTTCTACCTGGGTAGTTTGTGGATCCTTTCCATGAATAGAAATTTCCCTACGTTGAGTTTCTTTGCTAGTCGCTTTGATTTTATTGGGCTGTTCTCGGTTTAGTTTTTCGCTATTTGCCTTGGTCTTTACTTCTACTGGCTTCTGAACCTTTTCTCCTGCAGCTAGTTCTTTAGTTCTCTCTTTCTCCTGGAATTATATATGGTCAATCAAATCTATTAGTCCCATGTGCAATAAAATTGTTAACTAGTTGTTCTTGGCGTACTATATAGACACCTTATCAATCTTAAGTGATGCAAGATATGCTGCATCTTGTTCTTCCCTTGGCTGTCGATCTATCTTTCTCTTTTCCTCTTCCTTTTCTCTTCCAGAACCAAAAGCCAAGCCTTGATCCTCTATTACTCTTTGCAAAATCTCCACCAACTCAGTTGGGGAAACAGGACCTTCAACCTACATACAAGACAAGGAAACAAGAGAAAATTACTCAAGCGTTCCAAACTCATCATCATTATATTAATTCATTTTGCTAGATACTATATATCAGGAAATCCTATTAAAATATGCAGGATTTCTAGTTAAGCAAAGGCAACCCCAACCCACCTGTCGCAGGACTGCTATACTATTACCAGAAGGAGCAACTATTGCACAGAATGGAAAAATTTCTGCTTGCAAAGCATCGACCATCGGTAATCCCTCTCCCTTACTTGCAAATGCACCCCAAGAAGCAAAGTTTGCATCAAGGAATTGTATCACCAATTCGCAACATAGGGTATTGGTGCAGAAAGGAGCTGTGAAGGGGTGATCTGGAGAGTGGAGATAGATGAAAACGAACTTGTGTTCATCCTCTGCCATCTTCAGAACATTAACAAAACTGCAGGCAAAGAAGAAAGGATGTGAGAAACCATACTGCTGTTCAAAGCTAGCACTCCTCGGGAACATCCAGAGGCGGCTCTTGGGGATGCTGCCACTGAAAAGTTGCTCTTTGTTGTTGATCTCTTCTTCCTGCTGCAACTGTGGGAGTTACTCTATGACCAATGGTTCGGGAAACCCCCTCTATGATACTCCGCGGGAGGTTCACCATTCGTCGGACAATCCCATTGAAAAATGCATCCCCTGATGCTCTCCTAGTTTCTCTCGTAATCAACGACATTGCTAGCTAGCTCGGCTGAAGAACTCTCTATCTTTGCTTTTGCTTTTAGTATGGTGGAGCAGAATAAATTGTGAACTCTAAATTCTTCTGTACTATCGTGTTAGAAAAAAATGGGGCAAATTTATTCATATATTACAGTGCAATGCACGAGGCTCCTACGTACAGGGTTAGGGGTAACTGGTAAGGCCCGTAAGGGAGTACGCAGCCTACAACTGTTTTCAAGATTTGAACCTCAACCGAGCAATCCAATGGTTGTGCCAAACCCCACTCTCAAATTTATTCATATATTCTGTGCCTAAGGATTCGACAATGATACCAGAAACACATCATACGGGAAAACCAAAGTTTGATTTCAAAAACTACAATTTTACATAAAAAACAATAATAATGTTTTTGATTTTTCAACTAGATCTGCTTTTGTTTTGAAAGATAAAAATAAGTCGGCGTTGTTGAATACATGTTTTTTAAACCCCCTACGCTCAGTTTGGAAGGATTACAAAACTTTGCATTTAATTTGTATTATTTTATATGCATTTGCACTCTATATATTTGTATTTGTACTCCTTTCAAACTGAGCCTTAATTACATTTTGTCCTCTTAAATGTGTGAAATTGTGAATCAACTAAAAAATTGGACAAACAAGGACATTGTGATTGAAAAAGGATCTTTCATTCACTCCTCTAACTACATAATAATATTTCATTAACTACATTTAATAATTTATAATATTTTTATGTAGGAAAAACATACATAAATACTAGGATGAGCAAATGGGTAGGTTCTATTCGAAACCGAATGAAACCTACCTCGAATTGGTCTTGAACCGACCCTCACCCAGGTTGGTTCTAGGGTCTAGGGGTTTACTTTACCCAAACTGACCAGATGAACCAACCTTAGAATTGAATTTGCCTTAAAATAAACCCCGAAATATTTTTAAAGATGTAAAGATTTGAATCTAAGCACTCATGATTACAACAGTCATGGTCTCACTTGATAGTTACTTAAGTGATTTAATCAGTTTTTTTTTTAAATATTTGAATGTATATAATACATAATGTTAAAAGGTAATATTTACAAAATTTAAATTATAATGACAAATTTTGAAACATATATTAATATATTATAATAATCTACATATTAAATTACTCAATTTAATCAATAAAAATAATATAAATTTTAAACTATATATTATTATTATTAAAAATCAAATTTTTAAAGGATATGCTTCCTTTTTTTTAAAGAAAATAAAAAAGAATAAATTTCACGGATAAACCTTGAAACCAACCCTGAAACTATCAAAGCTAGAACTAACCCTGGAACAGTTCCAAAAACTTAGAACTGACCCTCACCCCTAATAAATACGAAAAGATTTTTTTTTCTGATATTAATCACAGCTTGACACCATAGGAGTTGTCGTGAACAATATAACATCATATCAACAACCTTAATAAATAATCACACAATTCTCTTTTTATTAACCGACTACCGCTAGGACAATTCATCAAACACACAACTGGACTACCCCTTAGTTGGCCATAAATTCGATAAGCTCAGCAATTATGATAGCTGCTGAATCCAAGGACTTCTTTTGTCTTTTACTGGATAAAAAGGATTAATAATAAAGCATTTGATAGCATGGTTATCAACGATTGACTTCATTTTGTCGTTAACAATCGAGTTTAGGACTTACTTAATAACTTATTCACTAAACGATAAAGCAATAAGTCATTCAGTTCCACCACKCCAAATATTATTATCCAACCTTAGCTTATGCCGCCCTTTATTATAATTTTCGTATTAGATTATTTTAAAGACATCATATGATAAAAGCCAACGCAATCATTATGGTGATATATTTTTTTATTTCAAAATTTTTGAGATATTTTAATTAAATAAAATTTTCACATTATCATTCATATTTACAATAGTAGTATAGATTTTGAGAACCCCCCAACTAGCTTCATATTGGAAGACTAGCAAAAAGATGCAGAAACTGTGCCTTATTTCATATTGGACCGAAAAATTTACCACGTAGAAATGCAGAAACTTGAAAAAAAATGCAATTAGAAGTATACTTTAGGGATGGGAATGAGGCTTGCCAAAAGAAATCATCCTTATAACTGGACCCTGTTTATTCCCTATTGGTGCGGGTCTTCTTCAGAGCCTGTGCCTTATTTCCAATGACACTTTGGACCATTACTTTCTTTTCTTTTTCTTTTGGGTGGGTCGGCGGGTTGCTTTTTTATTTAGACCTTTGGATTCCCTTCAACTTTGATTTATTAAAGAGATGCCAAAAGGAATTAGTCCGCTTTAGCTTTAATGAACTGTCAGGCGATTGATCGTCAAAGTGGGATATGCATATAAAAATCCAGTAAAGATAGACTACAATATATAGAGAATCCGATTCCCCTTCATGCTTTCACACATTTTCAAGAATAGCATTCAACTACAAAGAATATATACGGTTAGGTTCACGGAATCAGGGTGGCTTCCTCTTCAAGTGGGTAAGGATGCAACTTGGGCCATGTTGCAATATGAAATTAGTTAGAGTGAACCTGGCCTTGGGCAACCAAAACCCAACATCTCTTCGCATTTGCTAATTTGCATAGGTTAATATTAAATATCTGTATTCATGTATATAGATGTCCTAAATTTTACATGATACTTTTAGAAAATAATAATAATTTTAATATCCTTATCAAAATCAAAACCCATTAAAAAGGATAAGTAATTACAGCATGGTGTGTTGGTGAATTTAAATTTCATGTTTTATTTCAATTGTTAATAAAAATATTTTTTATTTTTCATATTTATTGTTGTTTAATTTGATAAACACTTAATATTAGAGATGTGCATAATTTTTTTTGACAAATCTCTGTATTTTCTATAATTTCCATTTCTATCTATTTTTGACTTTTTATTATATAATTCTGACATTATGTGTTGACAGTTGACCTATTTGACTTGAAAGGAAACCAATCTCATTTTTTTTGGAAATTTTACATTTTCTATTTTGTTTCCATGATTAATTGTAAAATCAGTTCTTGTTTATCACACTTATATTTGATAAATATGGCAAATTTATAGTATTTGAGATATGTTAAGTTTTCCTATAAATTTTTTTATATTTTTGTTTTTGTAATTCTATCTATTATTTACTTTTATTATTTAATTATAGCATCATTGGTTGATCCATTTTACCCAAAGTATTGGACCATTAATATGTAAGTTGGGCAAATTGGGTCAAGTTTGTGCTCAATGTAAGCCCAATCTACGTTGAAATTTGATACACCTAGGTTGGGTTCGAGCTTGGATTAGTCGATCATCTTTATGCTAAAATTTGACATAAATGTATGTCTATACATACACATTTATGGAAGTATGTGCCTTTATATGTATGTATGTATCCCCTCCGCCCCGAGCTCGTGGTACCGCTGTTCTTTTCCTCCCCCTCCATCGGGTAAAGGCTCCAAGAAAACATGGGTTTATGTGGCAGTTGGAGTTGCAGCCACTTTATTTGTGCTTATTGCTGTCTTGGCCGTTGTTTATTATGTTGTCTTACAAATAAGAAGTCGGAGGCGCCCAATTGATTCTGTTACTGTCATCAATTCATTCGAGAAACCCCTCAAAAGTACAATTAATAGGGACTTGGCTGCCATCAAGAAGATGAACAGGGACGTCTCGAAGGAAATAAGTTTACTCAACAAGATCAATCATTTCAATCTTATCAGGCTCTAGGGTGTTTGTTTTAGTGAGGGGAATTGGTATCTTGTGTACGAGTATGCCATGAACGGACCTCTGTGTGACTGGATCTATAGCGACAAAAGTGGACTGAAGGTTTTGAGCTGGACACAGAGGGTTCGAATTGCTTTGGATGTGGCTACGGGGCTTAGCTACCTCCACAGTTTTACCAGTCCTTCCCATGTTCACAAGGATATAAGGAGCAGCAATATTCTTCTTGGTAGCGATTTCAGAGCCAAGATTGCTAATTCTGATCTAGCAAGGTCGACTCAAGGGGAGGAAGGTGAATTTGCTTTGACAAGGCACATCGTTGGAACAAAAGGTTACGTGGCATGTGAGTATTTGGAGAATGGTTTGATCTCACCGAAGCTCGATGTTTATGCATTTGGGGTCTCGAGGTTGGAGATTATTACAGGGAAAGAGGCAATTGTTTTGTGTGGAGGAGAAGATGTTCTCTTATTAGATGCTGTACTAGCATGCTCAATGAGTAAAACGCAGAGCAAAAGTTAAAAGGGTTCGTAGATCCTTCTCTGCAAGCCAACTATCCATTTGACCTTGCTCTGCTCATGGTCAGATTGACTCAGAACTACGACCAACTATCTTGTCGGCCTGGCATGGATGAGATTGAGCAGTCCCTATCAAAAATCTTAGCTACCACACTGAATTGAGCAGCCCACACCCTTGCAGCCAACAGAGGCGTTCTAGTAGTACCAAGGTTTGAAGTATCGACATGTATCGTTTCAGAAGCTCCCTGATATGCTCTTACAGAGGTGTATCGGGGTTCTGACCGGTTCAGGGGGTGGAGGAGCCTTAAATCGTCCCCCTGAATCGGTTTGAAAATATAAAATAAAAAAAAGTACCAATATTGCCCAATACACCCCACCGATGTATCAATATTTTGAACCTTGAGTGGTACTGCACGTCTGGGGGTAGGGGAACACCACCATTTTCACTGTCTTCTGGCAGCAAAACACACAGTTCGGCAGAAAAAAGGGATCAGGCATCATCACCGGAATTGCTCATCAGTTGAGTTTAATTTTGAAACTTGAGGAATAGTAAAGGACAAATTTGATATTTCATTTCCTTCTATTAACATTTGATGATGATGTCAATTTTTAGAAACAGTAAGAGTATAAGGATACTTCACAAACAGTAAGAATAATTTAAGAAATTTACCCTTAAACAAAATGAAATAGTAAAATAGGATTTAAGTAGTTGATAAGGCTTAGATGATGGTCAAGATTATGCTGGCTTAAAAAATCATGATTATGTGCTAAACCTAATTCAAATTTCGAACTTCTAATTTTTTATTATTTCACATAATAAATGAAGAATTTGGATTTTGTCCTCAGACGGGCCTCACAACTCTTGCAACCCTGCATTGGAACATCTCCCATAAGTGAAAACATAAACTCATGATATGACAACTCAGAAAACATATTCCCAATTTAATTTGTTTTACATAATTCGTGATATGACGTGTCTAACGACAAGAAATCAATAAATCAACACTTCGAAGTTTGAACCATGTTTTTAGCCTAAATTTTTTCTGGATGAAGAGGGGAATTTGAAGACTCCTTTTGAGCTCAAAACTGCTTTGCCACACGAAAACCCTGAACTCCTTTCGAGCTCGTTTAGGAAAACTTACAAACCAATCCAAATTGAAGACCTGTAACCTCTAAATATAATACAACATTTGCATCCTGTCAAACATCACCTGCAGGATGCATTCATTTCTAACATGAGATAATACTCTTTTTTTTGCATCTTTGTTCAATTATTTACTTATAGTGAACACAAACTCTCGTACCAATGGCATCAAAGTTGGTTAAACATAGTTAGTTACATAGGATAAATCGTGCATGGTTACATTTGCATATCGATAGGCAGAGGATCTAGGAAATTTCCTGTTTGCTGCAGTGCCCACGTTTAGAAAAAACCCATACAAATATGCAGATAGAGAGATAGCAAGTGCGCATACACACTCACATATATATATATATATAGAGAGAGAGAGAGAGAGAGAGAGAGAGAGAGAGAGAGAGAGAGAGAGAGAGAGTCCCACAATGTTAAAACATGAAGCAGAGTTGTATTAGCAAGACGGCAATAATTGTACAAATGACGGGCTAGGGCAAGTCCGGGCAGACTCGCTTACTTTTCAAACTACCCACATCGCCTGAAAAGGCCATGTCAAGCGAGAGACATTCATTTCTACAAGCTTGGTCGTGGAAGTGGCCTTGCCACCACTTGTAAAGACATACCCGGGCCAGGCCTCCAAAGTTCTTTTATTATGCCAGCCCCATTGTAACATCCCAAAACATAGAAATTCCATTTCCATTGAGATTTTCTAGGTCCAGATTCACCTGTGCGAAACATGAAGGAAAGTGGGAAGAACTAATTCTCAACCATGTGTGATAGGGGCCTGGGATTTGGTGGGATACATGAGTTATCATGGCTACTTGGAGATCTGAGGAGAGGGTTCCATCGGTCAAATACTATCCGGCCTCCACGACCAATTCTTCCATGAAAACGATATCGCAGTTTAGATGTCTCATTATCAACTGGAGGAGTTGGTGGTGCAATGCCTGAAGCAGCCAATTTTCCTGGATCTAGAGGTCTCGTGAACAAGAAAACTGGCTCAAGAGGATCCTGCATTAATCCCACACTAGGTTGCATTAGCAGTTACTTTCAATGCAATGGGAAAATAAAGAAAATATAAACTGGAATACGATATTCATGAAAAATGCTTAGAAGGCCACATCAAACAGTACTCCGAATAAATGGTAGTGTAGGGACAAGTTGCATATAATCTTCTGGTGAACTGTTTCTATCGAGTAAAGGTTTCCATCCCAACTAAGAATTTTGCAGATCCTGTCTTGCACTGCCACTGCCAATTCCAGATAAAAGAAGGTCCCAGCTCAATTCAATAAAGCTCTAATTCCAACTATTTTTGGATAAGCTACAAGAATCCTGTCACACCATATCACTCAAGAGCCATATTTTGCACCACCACCAAGTCCAGATAAAGTTGAAAAAGAAACTTGTACAAAACTCTTGTACATGAATCCCATTTGTTTCAAGCTAGTGGACTATACAGAGAATGGAGAAGGATTTGAGAAGTCAGACTCAAAATAGTTGGACTAGGGCTTGGTCACCTTGGTATGTTTTCTTATCATGGCACTCAAAACAATTGAGAGGGAAACATGTACTTACAGTTTGGTTTACCACTCCTTGCTACTAACCAAAAGTTGCAAGGAAATAGGATAATATAAAAAAAGAAATATAACTTGATCTTGCAGAATAAATATATTTGTATACCCTCCTATGGAACCATCCATGAGGCAGATGCCGCCGTCTCAACTCTCGTTTCATCCGCCCTGTTGGGATCAACATTGTCTTCGGGTCCATGAAGGACAGATTTCCTACTGCAGCTGGTCGAATACTAGGGCGACTATTTTCCATGTCATCAGAGTCAATAAAATCATCCTCACTTGATCCAATTCTAGAAGAGATGGGTGGGAAGCCAGGGAGTGCCAATCCATCTTCAATGAGTTGTGTCTCATGCTGAAAAGCCATGACAAATTGCCAATTAATTGCTCAGTAAAGATCACTATCAGCCGCAACAGATTCTCTAATATAACAGATATGATCACTGTAATTTAAGAAGCTGTTGATTAGTATTTATGTTAATTGTGTGTACTGTTTATTTTAATTTACATTTGGAGAAATATATGTTTTTTCTTTACAACACACTCTCTCTACAACTCTTTCTTTATCACCTGTTTCTGCACACCATATACAGCATAATCTGTACATCTGTGTTGCAGCTGTGATCTTTCCTCCAACATTCCTTCACTTCAAAAACTCCAAGCACGTCAGTCCTGGTCTGCTCTCAGAGCATTCAGTGATGGTATGATCCATCACAATAACTGTTATGATTGGTGTAAAGTGATATTATACTTTTTATTGGCACAGATTGTGAGGGATTATGAAGCTGTTTGTGAAGAATACTTGATCACAGTCTCTGGACTCAGGTGATTGAAGTTGCTGTTTGGTGAAGTGAAATGAGAATTATAGGTGAGCAGATCTGGTTGACGGTCTATAAGACCTTTTCTGTGAAGTATAATCTGTGACTTGTGAAGTGAAGCAAGAAAAAGTGGTGAACAGACGGGTGATGATTATTTTAAGCTAGAATTTGGTGAAAGAGAACAGAATCCAAGTCTTCTATATCGTGCTGTTTATTGATTTCATGTCATTTTGGATGACTTCCATAAAATTGAATGGAAGTAATTTTGTTGTTTGGACAGAGTCTTTAAGATTGACCAGTGCACCTCACCAAGAGGCACAATATGACTTTCTGAAGACTGCAGATTCCAGTCAATCGTCAAATCAAATGTTTGACCAGTGCACCTCACTGTTTGGTTAAGGCATGTGTGAGTGACAGTAAAATTTGGTTGAGGTAGAAAACTGTCTAGCTGTGTCTTCTTTCTTTAAAGAATTTAGGGAGTTCAATTAATAGATTTTAGAGCAAAATACGAGTACAGAATGATCAATGGTAGTTTAGGAAAGTATATATTATCTTTATCTGTTGATATATTTTCTGGTTGTTGCAATAAAGTTTTAAGTTTTCTTTACTATTCTCCATAGCTGATTTCTATAAATTCACTTTTGATTGACATTCTTCAAACAATTGCTGGAAAGTGCCTTCTATTAGTTACTGTTAGTGAATTTTCTTGTGGTTTTACTATTATTACAAGGTATACTGCCAACTTTATAAAACTTTTGGAAGATACTGGGTGGTCTCATCTAACCTGAAAATCCTCATCCAAGCATGAACAATAAGGGACTAAGGGTTTTCTCAAGAAGAGGATAAATTCTATGAACCTGGTCCCTTGTTATCAGTTTATCACAAGAGCTCCACGGAAGACAGTGATTGCTAGAACTGAACACTTCTTTTGGTCTCCAATTTTACCAGAGATGCTTGATTTACTTTGGCAAATTTTATACTGGCTGGCTTGATAATGTATTTCCAACCAAGATATTTATAAGTTGTAAATGTTGCATGTCTCCTACAAATGATCATTTCATCCTTGTAACTGCAATATTAAAACACAATACAGTGTTATTGCTAGAGCTGAATACTTCTTTTGGTCTTTGATTTTACCAGAGATTGCTTGTTTTACTTTTGCAATTTTTTTACTGACTGGCTTGATTTCATATTTCCAACTCCAGATGATTTAAAGGAATTAAATCGTCTGCACATGTCTCATACAAATGATCATTTCATCCATGTAATTGGGATATTACAACACAATGCTAACTCCACTCATTGAAGCAAATTATAATAAAATAAAAAAGCACTATAAAATATTGTTGCAATCAAAACAGAAGAGACTTGAAATCATGTACTTACCTTATATTTCATTTGATTACGTTGAAGGTTAACTTCACATTCCATGACCTCTCTTTTCTTCTCTTCCCTCTGCAACCAATTATTTTGTTAGGAAATAGAATTTGTATCCTTGCGGTTGGTTCAATATCTTTACAAGCTAAAAAAGAACAAAAGAAACTCAGGAGATTTTAAATTTGTCACCAGAAAGATGTTGTACCTTAATCAAAGCCTCCAACACTGTCTTCGCCTGGTCCAAGTTGCGCCTCACCTAAAGATAGTGAACTCAACAAATAAAATGTTTCAACACAAGGACAACATGAACAGTTAAAACAATAATCTAATTTTTATTTAAAATAATATTAGAACATATGTAACATAACATCATAACAGTTCCATTTACCTATTTTCAAGAGAAAACATATACCAGCTCTACAAGAGAGTGGAAATTTGTGGCATATACATAGATTAGGCTAACTGTTGAACTTTGCTTAAATCTATTATTAGTTGTTTAGTTGTTAATATAAATATGATCAAGGGGGCTGACCACTACACCTTTTGGAGCTCTCTTTATTTTCTCAATCTCTCTCTTTTATCCTTTCTGGTTTTACGGCTGAACAGTAGTAAAATAGGAGATGGGGGGGGGGGGTACCTAGACATATCAAGCCCAACAAATACTCAACTAAATGTCATAATACTCATGAGAGAAGGAGAGAGAGTATAATTTATGAGAAATTAGAAAATTTCACATTTGCAAGTTCTAATGATAAAACCATCACATTCAAAACATAGAATTGAAGTATCACGGCATGAAGTATCATCATCCATAATTAGAAAAGTGTCACCGGATATCAATATATCACTTGCAAAGTGGAAAATCAGAGTATCAGAATTAATGATCCACATAAATTGCAAAACATTAACATAAGTGTGTCATCTCATATTCAATTTAATGTGATGCATTGAAGGAATGAGAACCATGGTGCCCCCATTTCTAATTCTAACATTTTAGTATAATATTACAATAGACAAATTTGGAGGGTTTTCATCCTTGGTATTGTTTCCCTCACTTTTATTTATAATATATGTATTACAAAAAAATAGCTTAAAAGGTAAGAGCATATACAATGTATGCCTCAGGCATGCCTAGGTGAACAGGCGAGGTGCATTTTGGGGTATGCACCTCGCCCAGGTCCTAGGTGCACCCCTTTCAAAAGTATGCGCCCCGTACTCCCGACCACACCCCTCGAGGCAAACACTCTTATCTTCCAAATACAGCTTGAGCCCTCAAGAAAAAGAAAAGGAAATAAGAAAAGCTCCGAGAATCCCCTATTTGCTAATGTTGTTCATTCATTCATTGCAATAAAATAKCTTCTTAAAAGGCAATGAAAATTATAAAATCATTATTTTTTTATGTGAGAAATAAGAATTTCAGACCCTAACATAGACTTGTTCGGGCTTGCCTCGAGGGGCGTGGCACAAAGGTGACTCATAGAATCAAGAATGCAATATGTTTTACATCGCATTAGCTACTTGAAGCAATGCAATTAAGGAAAAAAAGATGTTGTGGGTTTTACATGCTTGAAAATGCTTTATATGTTTGCTTTTATTTTTAAATTTTCATTTGAATATGCTTTACATGTTATGTTTATGTATTTTAATTTTAGATAATAGGTTTTTTAAAACATTTATTTTAAAATTTAAGTTTATATTTTTATTAACATTATGTTTAATATTTTTTTTTTGCATTTTTTTGGCTTTTTTTTTTGAATTTTCTGACTTCTTTATTTTTTAGCTTTTTTTTTTTGTAATTTTGGAACATGCTTAAAAAGGCACGCGCCTCGCCTTGCACTTTTAAAACACTAACCTCTAGACATTTTCTTAACATCTTGCTTGGACACATGCATCCAAGACTCCAAGTGTATGCCTCCAGTACCTTTAGAAACATTGGTTTGGCATGTAATGCAAGAGAAAAAACTAGAAATGATGTTATCTTTGTCCTTGCCATTGACTGGCCTTCAGGAATTGTGGTTGTGCTTTAGTGGGAGTGTCATTGATGATCTTGATTCTCACTGGAGTTTTAAAGTCAGTAATTTAGCAGGAACCAATAAGTCTATTCTTTTAGATAGGAATGTGGATGATGTGGACACTCAATTAGGTGACAACTGATTATGTATAGGGCTAAACACAAATGTAATAGGTAGAGGGAATCAGGATAAGGGGAGGAATCTATTAGCTCAGAGGTGGTAGGTGGGCTACGGTGTGCTAGGAGCAAAAAGGTGTATATGATTGGGGTGATAGCAGTGTTTTAAAAGGCACGCCTAGGCGTACGCCTGATACGCCTTGCGCCTCAGCCCAGGCGTGCTCCTTTTTAAAAATTTGCACTTTTTGCTTTTTTTTTTTGAGTCTAACAGTTGGGCCGAGGGCTCCACCCCCAGACCCCCGACCACGCCCCTCAAGGCAAGCCCGAATAAGTGTATGTTAGGGTCTGAAATTCTTATTTCTCACATAGAAAATAATGATTTTATAGCTTTCATTGCCTTTTAAGAAGATATTTTATTGCAATGAATGAATGATCAACATTAGCAAATGGGGGGTTCTCGGAGCTTCAGTGAGCGAGCGAACCGGAGCAGAGTAGGCTTGCCTCGAGGGGCGTGGTACAAAGGCGACTCATAGAATCAAGAATGCAATATGTTTTGCATCACATTAGCTACTTGAAGCAATGCAATTAAGGAGAAAAAAGAGATTGTAGGTTTTACATGCTTGAAAATGCTTTATATGTTTGCTTTTATTTTTAAATTTTCATTTGAATACACTTTACATGTTATGTTTATGCATTTTAATTTTACATAATAGGTTTCTTAAAACATTTATTTTAAATTTTAAGTTTATATTTTTTTTATTAACATTATGTTTAATATATTTTTTTATTTTTTTTTGCATTTTTTTGGCATTTTTCTGAATTTTCTAACTTTTTTATTTTTTAGCCTTTTTTTCTGTAATTTTGTGCCTTTTAAAAGGCGCATGCCTCGCCTTGCGCCTCAGGCCCAAATTGGCCCTTGCGCGTTGCGCTTTTAAAACATTGCGTGATAGAGATTATTACAGAGAGGCCCTTGGGAAGGGACATATATGTTGCACGTTACTCTTATATATGTTGTTGAATGTAAGAGGAATAGAAAGRGGTTCTTCATAGCTTTGACTGAATTTTTTGGGAAGGGACAGAGGCAACTGGTGTGTCTACCAGCAGGAAAACAGAACCAAGGCTGGGGGGAAGTAGACTGGTTGCTCAAAGAGTTCTTAGTTCAAAGAGTAGCAAATGAGAAAAAAGCCT